TCAGGTCATGATCCCAGGGTCCTGGGATCCAGTCTTGCATCGGGCTCCCTGCTCAGCACGGAGCCTGCTTCTCCCTCTCCCTCTGCCTGCCGCCTGCCCTGCTTGTGCTCTCTCTCTCTGTCAGATAATTAAATAAAATCCTTAAAAAATATTCAATCAATTATCCTAAAATTTAACTGGAAAGAATACTCCATTTTCCAATGAGCCTGAATAATGGAATCACTTTACTTAGCGTTTGCTTGTTTGTTTCCACCAAGAAACAATTCATGTCCTTGAAAGTGTTAACTTGGTCTCAAGATCATTTCCAGAGTGTTGCTGTGTCTTGTGTGCTCTGCTGACCACACAGTCCCAGTGGAGCCCCAGGCTGGGCTGTCTAGCTTTGTGCCCTCTTTCCTGGCAATTTTCCTCGGGCAAATGTAAACCTATGTGTTAACAGCTTTCTCACATCTGTGGAAGCCTAGCCAAAGGGGTGCTCAGATCAGCACCCGAGTTTGAGGGGAAAATCTTTAAGGAGGACATGAGATTCTTTTATTTGGGGATTGGACACTTCATTAATTAAATATACTAGGTTTTAATTGAGTAACTGCTATGTAGCCAGCATCTACTTACTGGACCTACTGTCCACCACTATATGCAAAGGGAGGGATAGTCACTCTTTAATTACTTATAAATATTCAGTGCTTTCCCTGAAATGGTCTGTGAAGCAGTAGTAATTATGCATTCAGTATCATGAGGGGCAACGCGAAGAAGGTGATATACCTTTGATAGCCACCTTCTAGTATTGCCATTGACATTAGCTGGAGAAAGATCTTTCCACTTTTTATTCTGATCACCATTTCTTTGTTTCCTGGTTATTCTTCTCTGGCTTTGAAGCTGCCGCGATGTGGACACGGCTTGGGTGTTCTGTTCTTTCAGCCATTTCCAACATCCATACACATCCCAGCTGCCTGAACTTAAAGACAAACATTAGGATCCATCTGGTAACTGTCCAAGGTGGCAGGGTTGGTTCTTTTCCCCTGCCAAGTTCAGATGTCTTCAATAGCCCTTCCTCTTCTACGACATCATACTGCTGGGTTGGCGAGACTTTCCACTCGGCTCTAAGTGCCAGGCCGGGGGCCCACATTTCTGGAATGCTCTCGGAGTTTCGTGAATTTTATCTTTCAAAAGCAGTTTTGGGACAAGCTCGCTGAGACAAGAAAGGGGGAGACTAAGAGGATTTTAGAGCCTTCCCGTTTTGTGGAATTATATTCAAATGACATGTCACTGAGAGGGATTTGAGAAAGGAAACCATGCAGGTGGGAAGAAAACAGTCTGAGGGAGAAATAAGGACAGGAGTGTGGCAGGAAGGAAAAAAGGGAAGAATATGAAATTTCTGGTAAATTCTCAAGCTTCACGTAGGAGTGGCAAGGAACACTCATTTGATTTTGGAAGATACTATACAACTTTCTTTCAACTTAGTTACCTTTCAAGCACTGTTTTGCTAATCTCAGCATTGACATCCCTGCTCATATAATGGCTTTGGGGAACATGTCTGAGATTCCTTTTGGCTAACTGAGTTTGAGCAAAAACAAGTTTAAGCTATTATTAGTTTTCTTTTCTGGGAGCCATCAGGGGCCAGACCTACCTTTGGAGATTCCTCCTGGTCTCTCGTCATAAAAAGCCCTTGATTCCTACGTTCATTAAAAGTGGTTACGCCAGCTCGAACTTGAAAATCGGCCCCAAATGGCATCGTGCCAGAAGTTGATTCTCATTGCTTCAGAAGGAGGGAAAAATATTCTTGTACTTGAGGGTAACACTGTGGCACTGGGCAAGAGGGGACATTCCTTCCCAAGAACATGTGACTTTACTGAGGTCAAATGAAACTTTGCCTGGTTCTTTACCCATGTGGAAAATGAAAGTGTCTACTCTACCCTCCAGATGAGGGGCATGGGAGCACAGAGCAGAAAGGCAGATTACCCCGAAGAGTTTGAAAAGACACGTGCAGATGGCAGAGGGAGTTGCGTTCTCCGGCCCCATGTGGTTTTAGACCCCTGAACTCATTCCTATCCACAGTCTTAAACTCATGGCTGTGGAAAGAATCAGACTTAAGATTTTAATCATATCCAGAAGCACAGTAAGCTGGAGCTTCAGCCAGAACAGATCTGATTTCCTTCCCAGACTTGATAACTTTGTTTTATAAAATAAGTTCAATGACATTTCAAGGGTTAATCATGAGCCTTTAGAGCTCCTGGACTGGCATTTATCTTTTAAAAATATTTATACAACTTAGCTTTATATGACACCCCTGTGTGTGTCTGTGTGTTTTAAGCGCTCAAAGCATTTAGGATTTTCTCTCCAAACCCTCAACATCTGCAAAGGGCATAGGCAGGTGAGATTTATTAGGCTCTTTTGGAAGGCGAGGACATGGACTCACTTTAAAGTTGAAATGCAGGACTTGCTCACCTTCTCACCCCACTGCCAGGCAGCGGGAGAAGAAAAGTGGACCTTCTGTCTCCAGGACCCCCCTTCTCAATGCCCTGCCTCTTCCTTTCAAACCCAGTGTGGGAATCCAGCAGGACCAAGCGTCTCCTCTATTCCAGTACCTGAAGAGAAGTTTCTGCCTTTCTCCTCTGTTTGCCTGAGAGGGAGGCCAGGGAGAGAGCGCTTCCCCTCTAGTGTTTCTTGGCTCCAGATTTCTCTACAAAAAAATGCAACCAGACCACATACTCCTCAGCATCCCAGGACTCTACCCCCACCCCCAATCGGAGCCCAGTCTCCTTCACATGCTGCAGGGGTAAGAGGGAGTTTGAAACTGGCAGAAGGCCTTGGAGGTGAAGGCCTGGCAGGTTGCAGCTCAGAGAGGATGTGCTGGTCGTCCTTCTGTTGTTCTGCCCGGACAGCCCACCAGGGTTCCTGGGCCTCACCATCCTCCCCTCCCGAGGGTTAGGCTGCTCAGAGATCACAGGGCTTCTTAACCTACTCCTGGGAGTGGCTTTTCTCAAACAGGTACTTTTATTATCAAATGAGTGATGGGGGAGGGGGAGGTGAGGAAAGATATGAGAAACTGATGCAATCTTGTGTCACATCACCAGTTTTTAATGAAAAACCTACACTGTCTCAGCCTTCCAGGGACAGACTTCAGTTCTCAGGGACTTGGGAAGATGCAGTATCAAATCGTCCGTGTGTGTGTGTGTACATGTGTGTGTGATGTTTTCCCCAGCATCCACTTCAGAAAATGTTCTCTCCTTTCCACTTTAAAATATTTTTCCTAAAAACCAAAGTAATGTAGGTTCATTGCAGAAGATTTGGAAAATACAGAAACGTGACCCAGAAGAAACTGAAATTCACCTGCAATTTTACCATCTAATTCTATAAAAATTTTGGTGAATGGCCACAGCCCGCCCTCTATTCTTTTATAGAACAGAAGTTCCAAGAGGACAGGGATCTTGCTCACAACTGTCACCCAATGCTCTGAACCGTGCCTCATGTGTGGCAACGTGCAGATGTATTGGTTGAATAAATGCATAACTGTAAGAGAATAATTTAAATTAAAATAGGTTGTCACGATGCAGCAGAGAACAGAAATAGAGTCGCCTGGATGTGGCAGACTGGGATCCAACCTGCCTCTGCTAATTGTCGATGTCTTCTTGGATATGTCACGTCACCTCTCTGGGCCTGAGTTTTTCCTTCAGTAAAATAATCACAGTTAACATTTCTTGAGTTCTTCTAGTTGCCGAGCATTATTATAAGCTTTCTCCGTGTATTTATTCTTTTTAAGATTTTATTTATTTATTCATGAGAGACAGAGAGAGAGAGAGGCAGAGGCAGAGGGAGAAGCAGGCGCCCTCCCCACTGAGCAAGGAGCCGGATGCGGGACTCGATCCCAGGACCCCGGCATCAGGACCTGAGCTGAAAGCAGACTCTTAACCAACTGAGCCACCCAGGCGCCCCTCTCCCTGTGTCTTTCAACCACAGCTCTATGAGATAGGTACCTTCTGCCCCCATTTGATGTGCAAAGAAACAGGCCTGGGGAGGTCCATTTGTCCACAGCCACACAGCCAGCAAGTGGAGAGTGGGGCTTGAACTCAGGCATCTGAGCTCTTGTCTCCAGAGAATGCCGCCTCGGTTGTGGGATTAGGTGACTTCCAGGGCCCTCCTGGTGGAGCTCAACTATGGGGCAAGGTCCAGATGATTATTACATGGAGATCAGAGAGCAAAGTCCTTAAGCAGAGGACTTGCTCTGGAATGTGAGGAGTCCACATGGGCATTCATTCAGAGTATAATTAAAGGCCAGGCTGCTGGTCATTCAGAGGCAGGGTGACGAGGGCTCTCTGTGTGTCCTCTCCTGGCTCCCAGGCTTGCCTTACGGCTGCCCATAGGAGAGTGTGCCAGGGTCAGGCAGGGAAGCAAATAAATAAATCTGCTCATTCCTGACAGTGGGCAGCCACCGGTGCATTAGGTCGGGGAGGACGAATGGGGATCTCCTTGGATGATTAGCTAGGATTTCGATGGGCAGGGCCCTGTCCCTTTCTCTCCCCCTCCCCAGATGAACATTTGGACAGAGTACTTGTGTTTTGCCTCTGCCCATGGTAACCAAGTCTCCTTTTTCGGTGAGGAGGAATGGGCTTCGGTAAACAGATCTATTTGTGTGACTCCTATTACTCATTTGAAGCAATGTCACTCCTTTTTCCACTGTGGTCTGTGTGTGTGTGAGTCAGAGAGAGCCTAAACAGGCTTCTTTGAATTGATGGCTCACTCCCAGCCTCTCTTGACCAACTGCCAACCCAGCAGGGCGTAGCTTACCAACAAATCTTTTTTTTTTTTTTTTTTAAAGTCAGACTGATTCATAGAAACTCCTTTAAAACAGAGTGAAAAGAAACCGCCCATCACACACCCCAGCACACCAGCGCTGGAAACTTATAACCTCGGGAAGCAGGTCCCTCCCCTCACAGCGGTCACATACCTCCAGAAGAGCAGACCTGACAGCCACCAGCTCCAGCTCCTCAGGGTGCCTCAGTGGCTTGGACCTCAGGTAGGACAGCTTCCAATGCTGTGGGGAAGCTCAGCGAACTTTCTCTTTCCTTCTCTGCTCTCCTTCTCCTGACCTAGTGGTCATCTAAGCCTTGCTTTTTCTTTTTTCTTGTGCTATTTTTCCTGTGATCCTCTAAATTGAATTCTTGAAACTTCTGGCTACAAGTGGATACCCAGACAACTTTTTCTATAAGGTTCAGGAAAATGCCTTATGATGAGGGGTTGGGAGCCTCTGGGGAAATCAGCGGGCCTGGGCTGTGATTACGTTTTGCAGTAACTGGGTTCTTGTTTGGGAGCAGGGACTTTGGAACATGCCGGGATAAGGGATTCTTTATGGAGGAAACACTGCATACCTTTGAAGGACATATGGACTTGCCAGATGTTTTCCAGGTTGTCTGTTTTGATTCACGTTGCTTCAGGATTTGAGTTGTTTCCCTTGTCGGTTGTTTGCTGGTCTTTTTTGGATGATGGATAGATAGGCGCTTTTCCGTTCACTTTTGCTGTTGCATTTACAGCTCGTTCATTCACTTCTGTTTAAATGTCAATGTTGTTTCTCCCCTCGGGGATGGGAGGAGGGGGTAGGTTTGTTTAAAAAAAACAGAGAGGTGGGGGTATCAATGCGTGTTTGAAATGAAATGCGGGAGGATTTCATTCTGTGCAAATCAGCCTGATGTGGAACCCAGAGCTCCTTCTCTCCTTGCCAGATGTAGAGGATGGGAAGAGGCAGGAGGGAAACTGGGTTTGGAGGAAAGGGTGGGTCAGGTAGGGGAGCTTCATTTGCTCCTGCTAAAAAAAAATGTTGAATGGCTTTGTGCTTCCACCCCAGAAATTTTAGTGCTGAGTGAAAAGGGCATATTAGAAATAATAAACTAATTTATTAGTTTTTAGGTGCATGGAAGGAAGTGATTGTTTGGGACCATTTATCTTCTCACTCTTCCAAAATGTGGTTGTGCACATGCAAAACCCTCTTGCTAATCAGAAAGTGAATCTGGAGAAAGGAAGAAGGGTGATTTCTATTTGCTTTTGTTTTGTTTTGTTTTAGGTTAGCATTTTGGTTGGGGTGTGGCCCATTTCAACATAGATACTGGTTTTATTTTCCTCCCCTACATAAACAAGCCGGGGAAAATGACAGGATTCAGCTTGTCTGGCGAAATTAGGCTTTTCCTTTAGAAATGCCGTGCGTTGGAAGAGAAGATTTAAATGTAATCAGCCTGTGTACACTGTACAGACAAGGCGCCTCGTAAAACTGCCCTGGAGGGGATGATTAACTAAGTGCAAGGGAAACTTTGCAAGATGCAGGGAACTCCCACATTTGCTTAAAATGTTTATTATTTCCAGATTACATGGCTGTGGATTAAGGGAAGCCATTATTACAGTTGGTAGTAATGGTATTCTGTGAATCTAGTATGAATCTTTTTGCAGTTCTTGTGCAAGTTTAAACTCTAGGCAATACTTAACCAGCCAGCAGACAGAAAATACTGAGAAATCTGCGGGTGTAGACCATCCTGAATTGCATTTTTTGGTGCAGCGTTTCCCGATACGCTGTAGTTCTAGAAGTGAGAAAATACACTGTTATGTTATTTCCCGGAGTTTGAGGGCAATTTTGAAAATGCTGTTCTAATTCCTGTTTTCCCTGCTGCCTCCAAGAAATGGTGAGGGAGCTCCTTAGCTGCAGGAGTTTTTCTGGATTTCAGCTGTAAGTCTTTGAAAATCCTGAAACGGGAGGGCTATTCCCCACCCCCCCCACCCCCCCGCTGCCTCCCCCCCTGCCCTGCGCCCCTCCCAAAGGCGGATTGGATTCCACCACAGACTCTGAAGAATGGGGTGGGGGTGGAGTGCTGTCTGGAGGGCTGCAGGCCATCCGGTCTGGCATCCTGGTCAGAGGACCCCCCAGATTTTACATTGTTTGAGGGCACTAAACTATCCTGGGAGTTGGCAGAAGGCCATCAAGGGCCAACCGAGAGTGGACTCCATCCCAGAACAGAGGCTGGCTACTTCCCAGGAGGACAGGGCACATCTCTGAGGAAAGGAAAGACATCCCTTCCACTGACCAGAAATACTGTGACTTTCTCAACTCTTCCTGCTTCCCTCTGGAGACCAGCTTAGGCCCATCCAGTTCCTGGGGACCAGCCAGACTCTGGGGGATGTAGAGCCTCTTGGCTTGGTCCGGGGGGGTGGGGTGGGGGGGCTCTGAGGGCTTTCGTTCAGGCCAGGATGCACTGGGATCAATGGAGAGAGCAGTCAGAGACCTAGAAGGCTTACAGATGAGGCAAACTCCTGTTCTGCAGACTCCTCAGAGCCTGATTGGGGAGTATATCTGAAAAATGGCCACAGAAAAGGGCACAAGGCAAATTTAGTTATGTTCTATCTTTAATTTTGTGTATCAGATTCTCAGTTTGGGAGGGATTCTCAGTTTGAAGATCTAGTCATTCATTCTCCCACCCAATGCAGAAGTCCTATTTTAACACCACCTTGGACAGATGGCCATTTTACGTGTCCTTAAAATATCCAGAATAGGGGTCTCCCTACCTCAGAGTGTGCCTCCATGCTTCCCTCCCCCATGCCGCCCCCGCGTTGCTGGACAGCTCTAATTACTAGAAAATCTTAAATCCAGCACAATTGGCTTCTCTGTAACTTCTGTACTTCGTTCCTAGTTCCGCAGTCCTGGGCGTGCAGAAATTCTCTATTCTGTTTTTGTTGTTGTTCTTCCCAGTGCCCCTTAGCCTCTAAACACTTGACCCTTAATTAATACTTAATCGGTAAAGCTTGATGGATCAGTATGATTATTATTACCTAAGACTCAAAAAGAACAGGAAGCCTTTTTAAAGCTTTGAAACCATATACATAGTCAGCCATACCCATGTGATCTGATTCTGAGGTATTTCATTTTCTAAATACATGAATACAGTTTCTTCTTTAACGTTCCACATGTATATACATGGATGTCTAACACAAAAGCTCGGACACATTTGGGACTTTTGGATGTACATACTCGGAGGGACACACCCAGTTGCTACCCACGAGGTCATGGTTGAATCAGCCCAAAACCAGAGACACAGTCTTCTAAGTTGGCCCTGTTGGGGTGATCCCGTAACTTGGCTTATAGTTCCTGTAGCTCACACCTTCATGTTGTTACCACCTGTCATGATAACTACAGGAACAAGTTGCCAACCCACTGTAACTCCGGACTAATTGTGGGCTTGCAAAATGGATGTCAATCCTGGAGAAGAGCTCATAATCTTCAGCCAGTGTAGATCTGAAATTTTCTGACCATAAATTTCTCTTTTCCAGTTCTCTTCCTAGTTCTGCTTAGATGATCCCAAATTTCTATTCAGTAATCAAGGGAGCCCAAATATGGTTCCAATTAGTTCACAATACCTGCCCCCCGCGCGTCCGTCCCCCCCCGCCGCCAAACACTCATGTCTTGAGACCACTCTCGTATCCCTTCAGTCCTTGGTGACCTGACTGGGTAAAAATAATTTCTCTTAATTTAACTGGGAGATCCACTGACACTGAAGCATAAAGATAACCGTACAAACCCTTGTGGAGATTGCTGTTTCTCTCTCTTCCTTTTTCAGAATCTTTGGGTCAGCGTTTTCTTCCCTGTTTTGGATATGGGCATTACCTTGGAACTAAAATGGACTCCTCTGCTCTTGGTGCCGTTGGTTTTATGTGCATGTGGAAGCTTTTGTAGTTCCTGAGTCTGTTTCATGAATTCTCTCTTCAAATGGGGCGTTAAAATTGAGAACATAGGCATAGTGGTTGAAAGTGGGGGCAAGACTCTTGGGGCCGATGCGAAGTGGCTGAATAGGGAGCCGGAGGGCTGTGGTCTTGGCCTGACTCTGCCCTATGACCATGGGCGAGTCACTCGTGTTCTTGATGGAGGGAACTGAACTTGATGGTCTCCAAAACCCCTTGTGGCTCTGAAATTCTAGCGTTCTAAGATGTTATCGTCCTGTTTTGGAAATCCTTTGGCTCATGCTAAGAGTTTAATCCATAAAAATTGGTAGAAAAGTTAAATGAGGCATCATGATGCACTGCAGGGCATGTTACAGAGGATTGAGGGCCCAGGCAGACTCCTCTGCTCATCCACGCAGATTCCTTAGGCCTCATCATCAGATAGCAGTGAGCATTCACCCAGCTCTTGGAAGACTAGGAAGAGGTTTGATTAATGAAACATCAAAGATGCCAACCGATGAGAAGAGGCAGGCTATATATAAGCCTGTTAAGACGCTGACAACAGCAAGGGATTCAGGAGTAACCGAACCAGGTTCAGGGAGAAACTGAGCTGGTCCTGGGAAAGGAACTCCACCCTCTTCTCTGGGAGGGAGACCCAGCAGCGGAAGGGTGTGGCAGTAAAGGTGTGGATGAGAGCGAATAGGAGAGGAGGGGGGGGGGCAAGTGCAAATGCCTGCTGTTCCTCAGGCCTGTGCTTTGAGGGAGAGAAGAGGTGAATGAAGTGGAAAGAGAAAGACAGGGAGAAGGCCAAAGAGCAAGGGAGAAGTGTCAGGAGGATTCCACTCTCATTTCCTTCCTCCTTTTTTTTTTTTTTTTTAAAGTAGGCTCCACGCCCAGTGTGGAGCCCAACGTGGGGCTGCAACTCACGACCCTGAGATCAGGACCTGAGCTGAGATCAAGAGGCGGAAGCTTACACGACTGAGCCACCCAGGCGCCCCTTATTTCCTTCCCTTCTTGTCTGGGGACCACCCACCCTCAGTGTTTCAGAACAGTCCTTAGGGCCAAATATTCTGCTCTTTGTCCCCTCAAAGGAGGGGGAGGGGACATTTGTTGCTCAAGTAACAAATGTGGGTCAATACAGGCTTGGTGTCATTTGAATTTCCATTGAATATTTATGCCAACAGGCCAGTGATCTCCCTTGATGTTTTCCCTCTTTTCCGAAGGGTCAGATCAGAGCTAAAAGCAAAATGAGGTCCTTGATCCTTTGGCTTCTTTCAAATGATCAAAGACCCCTCCCTAGGGGGCTGGAGATGGGGAACTGGA